AACAAGCTTAGAAAGAATGAGGAGCACGGAGAATGGGAGGCCAAAATCATCCAAAATCATTCTCGATGATCAATTCAAGTTCAATGAAGCCGAGGGTTTCGACTCAGAGCAATCCACTGCTATGGCTGTGGAGGTGCCATGACCAAACACTGTGCACACACTATATGTGGACAGTCTACATGCATTTCCCGTTATTGATGGCAACCCCCAAAAAATATTCGAAATTAATTGATTGGCCCCCCTGAATTCAGGACAGAACTGGTGCTTTCTTCGACGATGTGCCGGTTGACATCACGGCACCAGCAGAGGAGCTCACAGCTCATGTGAGGGATGGGGATCATACAAACCCGGAAAATGCTGCACTTTCGAAATCGGTGTCCTTCAAGTTACTCTCCCGCAAGAAGAATTCGTACATATTATACGGATTAAGAATTTGTGGCATGCAATCTGCAAGTGTATAATATTATATAATCCTATTTGCCCCATATCCGATATCTGGATTTTTGAGTTATAAGTTATGTGTTCTTATCATTTTCAAGTGGGCATGTCCAACAATCATGCATGGCGATGCCAAATCGTGAGCACTTCAGCAGAACACAAGCGCGATCGCAATCCTGCCACAGTTCATCGAAGTTTGCGGCCGGAAGATTGACAGCTGCACTCGGATCTTGGAGTCCTGGCTTGGCATATCATGGGATGATGGGCTGTGTGACATTGAAGCACCCTTGGGTTTTGATAATCAAAATTGATCACATCATAGCTGAATGAGACATTCATGAGCGCCGTACTTCTTAGGAGAAATTGGATGGCAATGGATCAAACCAAGCAAAGGAGCTGGGGCCTCAACCGCCCCAATTATCCACGTGACTCAATCCAACTCGACCATTCTTTCTCAGGTTGCGTGCCAGCGGCTCGAAACAAGTTGACAACATGAACCGTATCTATGAAGAGTTGGAAGCAATCCAAGCTGATGCAGTCGCCAACACCTTGAGCGCTGGGTTACTTAGCTCATATGAGCTCATTGAGGTGTTGCTTCAGTCATGCAACCTAAGTATTTGCAGTTTCAAGGACTCAGAGTTTGGGCGCTTAAAAAAACAAGGCCTGATGTGTCTAAACACCTCTTGGCAAAGTATGCGCAGCTTACAAAGATGGATGTGGCGTTGAACAATTTGGTGGTTCGATTTATATGCATACATGTAAAAATCATATAGTAATGTAATATACGCATGAATCGGCATCTCAGCTTGTACCCCAGAATTCTGCCTCCACATACGGCCTCCTTGTTCGTCCACAGCTTCCAGGTCTGTGAAGACTGCCCCACAGAGCAAGCCTCCACCTCCTGCAAAAAAGCCAGTGGGGAAAGCCAATCCAATTACTTTACTTCGTGTGATCCCCACCATGACATTTATACATTTTCTTACTGGCAAATCTTCTGGCATTCTATCTGACATATCTTCTGACATTCTATTTGGCATTCTATCTGGCATATCTTCTGGCATTCTATCTGGCAAATCGTCTGGCATTCTATCTTGCATATCTTCTGGCATTCTATCTGACATATCTTCTGGCATTCTATCTGGCATTCTATCTGGCATTCTATCTGGCATATCTTCTGGCATATATTCTGGCATATCTTCTGGCATTCTATCTGGCATTCTATCTGGCATTCTATCTGGCATATCTATCTGGCATATCTTCTGGCATATTTTCTGGCATTCTATCTGGCATTTCTTCTGGCATTCTATCTGGCAAATCGTCTGGCATTCTATCTGGCATATCTTCTGGCATTCTATCTGACATATCTTCTGGCATTCTATCTGGCATATTTTGTGGCATTCTATCTGACATTTTATCTGGCATTCTATTTGGCATACCTTCTGGCATTCTATCTTGCATATCTTCTGGCATTCTATCTGGTATATCTTCTGGCATTCTATCTGGCATATCTTCTGGCATTCTATCTGGCATATCTTCTGACATTCTATCTGGCATATCTTCTGACATTCTATCTGGCATATCTTCTGACATTCTATCTGGCATATCTTCTGACATTCTTTCTGGCATATCTTCTGACATTCTGTCTGGCATATCTTCTGACATTCTTTCTGGCATTCTATCTGGCATATCTTCTGACATTCTATCTGACATCTTTTCTCACATTCTTCCCGTTGAGGTCCGGCAGTGCCCACTGCGATCTGGAAGTCGCGGTTGAGGTCCGGCAGTGCCCACTGGGATCTGGAGCTAGCGGTTGAGGTCCGGCAGTGCCCACTGCGACCTGGAAGTCGCGGTTGAGGTCCGGCAGTGCCCACTGCGATCTGCAACTCGCGGTTGAGGTCCGGCAGTGCCCACTGGGATCTGGAGCTCGCGGTGGAGGTCCGGCTGTGCCCACTGGGATCTGGAGCTCGCGGTGGAGGTCCGGCTGTGCCCACTGGGATCTGGACTGCGAGGAGGAGGCGGCGGGTGAGGAGGCGGAGGAGGCAATGGAGGCGGAGGAGGCGGAGGAGGAGAACAGCTCTGATAAAATCTAACAACCCTCACCTGGCAGGTGGGGAAAAAACAACAAACAACCGGGGAAAGGGCAAAGCCGCCAAAGATGGCGAAGAAGAGTAGGCTTGCAAGTTCTTTTTTGGCGTTTTGAACTTACTGTATTGGGCTGGGCCCAGGCACACAGAGCTCCACTGATTGTCTTATCTATGGTAAGTTTAGGATGTATGAAACTATATATTATTTCCAGCGGTCGAGCTTTGATTTGATGGCCTCACTTATGCCAGCCAATTTTGATAGAAGCCTGAGCATACCGAGGAGCAAGAACGGCACGGTACAAAAGATCATATGCGACATGCATACTGCACTGCTAGAACACTTTGTTGTCATATGTTGCCATGTGTACCATAAAATACTTGGGTGATCACCCTGCAAAGCGCAAATCAGAAATATGCAGCTCCCTGAAACTTCATGATCAATACAAATATGCCCACATGATGTGTTCTTATCCAATTATATCCAGCCACACGCAGGTGTGACTGAGGATGAGCTACATGTCCCAGCGCCAAAAGGCGCCCCACCTGTTGCCAAAAATGCCACAGCTAGTTGGATCATACAACAAACCATGTGTACAGAAGCACCCCAACCAGCCAAGAATCAGAACTGTCCTGTGCAGGTGGAATATTGGACTCTGACTCGGACAACGACACCGACCTGGCCGATGAGTTCTTGATTGGCTTTGAGCAAGGGGTTCTCTGGCTGCGATAATTTTTCCCCATGGGTAAAACTTCAACATTACGCTTAAAATCTAAGGCTGAGTCTGCTTCCAGAGTGGACCGACTGGCAAAGGCGGCAAACAACAAGTTCAAGAAGCATGGAAACTGGGACTGTTAGTTTGGGTGTGTTGTTTGTTGGGTCGTACATTCTCAGCACATGGTCAAACATATTGGTGCTTCTTTCTATTCAGGAGTGGTCGATCCAATGATGGCACTTATGGCTAAATGTGGTCGCAAACGTGTGGACCCCCATGCGTGCAGAAACCTTCACAGTCTGATTTTGCGAACAGGAAAGGTACTGCCGGTGACCATTTCAACTGTGACTATGAGAAAACGTATCTCAAGGAGAAAGCTTGCTGCCATTCCAACACTTCACCCACTCTTGAAACTAAGCGATTGGGCATTGACTATATTCAAGTATGGGGGCCATTTCTTTCTCAGAGGCAAATCCTTAGAACATGCCGGAAGCTTTGGAGAGGAATTGAGCGAATTTACCGGACCCCGAGAGGTGGCATCGGCACATTCCATGGGGATGCATCCGTGGGGATGAAGGGCGGGGACGTCAGGGTCAACCAGTGTTTGTACTGTCATACCAGCCGCTTCTCCCCCTACAAGATCAAAAGCCCACTATGGCAGTGCACCTAGGCTTTCTGTTGGGTCCTTTAAGTTCTGGGTGATTGTTTCAATTTCAATGATGGGCTATACCAGCTTGCACAATGTGGTATCTTTGGGGGCCATGCCAACAGTCCCAGGCAAACCTTGTGCACCCGGTTGCTCTTCACGCTGCTCCCGTCCCCATATTCAAAAGAGAACTTGAGTATTGTTCTTGAAGAAATGGTGAAAGATTTGAACCACATGCATGCTGAGGGCATCACAGCAACCCCTTTCAGCTTCAACAGATTTTCATATGTTCCCTGGTACCAGCCTTTCAACATGCCCACAATTGTGTGAACCCTCACTCTGCTGCCTTGTCCAGGTGGAGTGGCACGGCAAGCAGTACACGTACTTCTTCACCTACACAGGGTGCAAGGGGGACTGGCTGTTCTTACGGGCTGCCTTTGGACTGAACTGTGGATACAACTGCACAAGGAAATGCCATCGATGTGACATAACCGACCCATAGCTGAACTATATATCTATTTGATCCAATATCTACCCTTAAGATTGTGTAGTTGTAGCTGGTAGTACCAGCCTGATACCTTTGTCTATCATCTGTTTGGGCCCTGCTTTCTCCGCTCAGGAATGGTATGATGTCAAGACTGCTGTGAAAAAATGGGATGAACCCTTTCTGGGAACATTGGAGGAGTCCCCTTCGGGATTTGCCTACAGAGGAGGGTTGCCGGTTTGTGAGGATAGACTCGGATAGACCCTGATGATGCCCTGCCAAACCACCAGACCCTGGCTACCAGCTTCCAAGCCTCCTTAGCCAAGAAGCTCCTTCGCATTTTTCACCTCGCTTTTGGCCCACTTCGTTGGGCATTCGGCGGCCGTTTGGCCCTTGAAAGAAAACAGCTTCAGGTAACGGCTTATGAGACCGAACCTGATAGGTAAAGGATTTGAATGTGCAGGTGCAAAAAATGAGAGGCAATATCAGCACTCCCCCTTTAAAGTTCCGGATTGGAGCTTTCACAGCCAGGCTCAAGCTGTTCTCACTTGGTGGCTTCTAAACATGCAGTGCAAATTGGAAGGTGGTTCGTTCCAAGTGCAGTCGGACATCGCATATCTGAATGTGCATCGCTTTCATACACTTTCAGAAACAGGGTGGCACCAAGAGCAGGAGTTGAACCGTTTTGATATGCAGAGCGTCGGCAACGACTGCGGCGCCATGTAGCCCTTCTCTGTGAAAAGTGCAGGTGGCCTCACGATCAGGATAGCTTCTTGATCACCCTGATCCATCAAAGCGTTGAGAAGAGAAGTCTTTATGTCAATGACTGCACCAGCCCATTGATGGCGGGATGCTGCCCAGATGGACAGGCGAAAGGCGGCGGCATCAGCGCCGCTGGAGAAGGTTTTTTCGGAATCCTTTTTGGACTCGTAGTTTCCACAAATCACCCAACGAGTTTTGCGCTTGCCGCCATTGGGACCAGATTTGATTGTGAAGACCAACTTGGACGGAATGATCTCCGCAGTGCGGCCTTCTTGAGCAGCTTTCTTTTGAATCTCCTCCAGTTCCTTTCTTGTGATCTTTTTCAAAGCTTCCTTTTCTTCTAAAAGACTTTGAACTTCTGCATCGATGGCTTCCAGCCAACTTTTCCAACTTCTGGCAACCTCTCTTGTCGAGATCACTTTCGTTTGGAGAATTTTGTCCTCCTCACTTGGTTCTTCCATCATTCTCTTCATCTTCGCTACCCATTTGAGTTCTTCTACTGCTATGTCAGGGTCGTCTTCGACCATGTACTTCATCTCTTCTTCTATCATTTTTCCCAGCCTCTGCTTCAGCTGATGAGACTTCTCTCTTTCTGCTTCCTCCTCATTCTTTGAATCTTTCTCCTCAACTTCTATCTTTCTCACTGATGTTTTCTCTCGCAACCTTCTTGTGGTGGTCAAAGCATCAGCGACCTCCTTCTCAATTGCGACCCATTTCTGGTCAGTGATTGGTTCTTTTGCTTTTCGAAGGACATATTTGGTGACTCTTGGCGGTTCATCTTCAGGCTGAACCCAATGTCCATGCTCTTCTGGAGCTGGAAACAGGTACTTGACGGTTTCCACGGTGGGCTCAAAGACACCCTGTCGCCATGTGCGACGTCTGACAAGGACGTCCTGCATGAACGGTGGAAAGCTTGGAGCATCGCCAAGTCGCCAGCTTCTATTCAAGGCATCAGCATAGCGAGCAGCTAATGGCCAACATTCGCTGCCCACATCGGCTTGTTTGCTTGTTTGAGTAGCCAACGGATTTGTGGTTTGAAACTTTTCACAGCCACTTCCACACGGCCATTCGCGCGAGGATCATCTCCAGGTGTGCATGTCAGCACTATGCCACGTGAGTTGGCCCATTTCCGGAAGACCCCGGAGAATTCATGACCTCGATCTGAACGTATTCTTCCAATGTGGAAGCCATCCATCCTGAGCTTGAGGATGAAGTCCATGGCTGTTTTGGTGACTTCTCTCGCAGTTTTGGTGATCATAGCTGCAGCTAAGCCTAAGCGGAAGATCTTGATGTCGAAGCCTCCAGGTTTGGGATCTTCTTCTCCTTCTTTCTTTTCAGGTGGGGGCAAGAGATAGGGTGGCTCAGGCGGAGCTCCCCCTGGGACCGAGACTTCTTCTTTCTTCTCTTCCCCTCCTTCTTTAACCTCATCCTCTTCACCCCAAACATCAACTGGATCTTCTTCATCTTCCTTCTCACCTGCTGCCTCCTCTTGACCTTCTTTCGCTTGAACTTCATCTTTTCCTTCTTCATCTTCAGGGTATACCTCAAAGTGAGGTTAATCTCCATCAGCTTTCGGAACTTCAGGATCTTTCATCTTGTCTGATTCAGCGGGGACTGCCCATGTCAGAGTGCCAACCAACATCCATCTTGCGTAGAGACCTCCAATATCTTTTGCTGGGACTAACGGTCCAGCAACGTCCAAGGAAAGAACTCCTCCAACTGGATATGGAACTTTTCTGTGAGGATGGCACTGCTGCATAGTTTGTTGACATACTGCACAATCTCGACGATATGGAGTATGCCCATGGGCAATGTGTTCATCCCAGCTCAGAGGACGCAGCATTGGGTTGCGCTGCATCACTTGTGTTGTCAAAGCTTCAGCAACCATCGCCATGACGCCAGGGGCCCATCTTGAAAGGCCTTTTGAAGATTTTATCTCCACTCCTTCACTTGCTTTCTTCATTCTTTTGTGGTTGTTGACCTCCAGCTTCAAGTTTCCGCCAAAGGTTGTTGGTTTGGTAGCGGAGCCACCATATTGACCCTGTGCAAACGTAGTTTCATCCCAACCAAACTCCTTTTTCAAGGAGGACCATTCTTTGGTATCCCAAAAGGACACAACTTCTGGCTTGTAGTCCTTGGGCGATGCTGGCTGTTCCAAGGTGAAGCCAACAGGTCTTGGATCTTTTCGTGCCTCATTGATGTAGTTGGAGACCATGGCCAGGAAGATCATGCGCCAAAGGAGGATGTCATCTTCTTCAATCATAGTTTTTTCAGTATCTGAGAGTCCATTGATTCCATATTCTCCTCCTCCCCATGACCTGATTGGGCGTGGACAGTTTGGCTGACCAGGCACCTTGTAGTGACGCAAGACACTTCTGCTTCGGCAATTTGGGCCACCGACGATGGCGTGGATCTTGTTCTCCAGTGCAGCTCTGATCAACGCTGCATAGGGTCCAACTTCAGTTGAAAGGTCATGATGTGAACCTCTTTTGATGTCAATCTCCAACAGAGCGGAGGCTTCACCTCCTTGTTGATGCCATGCACGGGCAAGAGTAAAACCAGAGTCCTCTCCTGCATTCGCTTCCTGGTTCTTCGGTTCACAGGCAAAGTTGACCATGAAGTTGGCTCGTCTGCTAACCTGGACTTTATATCTTGTGGAAGACGTCGAAGAACTGGATGTGTTTCTACAAGCTTCTTCATCCATTCAACTTCTTCTTTAAAGGTTCTTTCTTCGACTTTCCCCAGGGTTGCAGTCTGCTCCAACTCCTCTATCAGTTCAAGGGTTGTTGACCTGGCCATTTGAGGGCAACCACCGCTAACTTGGATTGGCAAAATGCCACGCTGTGGGTGACGAAGGCAAACTCCTTCACTATTCCATTCGATTTTGCAGCCAAGCTTTTCAATGAGCAAACCCATTGGTAAGATCGGCTCCGCATCAGCCCTCTCAGGGACCATCACGCCTCCTGGAGTCATTCGCAGTTGAGCTTGTTGGCCATTCGCAAGGGTCACAGGCACAGTTTTGTATCCTGCAAAGGGTTCCACAGGACGTAGTGGACGGAGTGCGTGAGTAGCCCCTGAGTCTACAAGGCCTTGTGATTTTCCAAAGGAAACTTGGCTCAATTTGAACACCTTCAACTTCAGCGAGTTCAGTTGTTGCTGAAGTCGGTCAACAACTTCATCTCTTGGCTCATTTGCAGAACTTGTTGTGGATGAAGTGGCGGACGCAGATGTTGTCAGGCTTTTCAGCATCTTATTCGTTTGTTCCAAGAAGTCTTTCATAGAAGCCTGTTCTGAGCTTCCTTCGTCCTCCTTGGCTTTTGAACTTGATGGTGACTTCTCCTCCCCCTCAACCTTCTGCCTTCGTGGCCTTTGCGGAGAGGTGTCATTCGAATTTTTCGGTCTTGTGCATGCTGGCGACATATGATCAGGGCAACCACAATTCCAGCATCTCCCGTTTTTCATCTTTGACATGGGAAAAGTTGCATGCCTTTCCCCTTCTGCAACCTTGGTCTGTGAGGAAAAAACGTCATTTCGGCTTTTTGTCCTTTCCATCTTCTCTTTTTGTAGGTGACCTTCCAGTCTCTTCTTCGCCTTTCTTTGCTTTTGACTTCTCTGCTTCCAAAGACTTCAGCTTCGGCTGTTCACCCTTGGCAGCGGCCGAGGATGTTCCTGGCTTCTTCTCAGTCAGAGCCAGTTGTTCAAATTCAGCAAGAAGGTGGTATGCAAACTGCTCCACATTTACATCATTTGGTGTAGTGTCCACACCAAGCCCAGACCGGACTAGGGAGACTCTGAACTGCAGTTCTCGCTTGCTTTCCAATTGCTTCTTTGACATTTTGAGGAGCCCCTTCAGTTGTAGGGCTGGATCCGGAGGAACAGCTCCGATTTCTTTTGCGCGATTTCTCGCCTCAGTGCTATCGGCGCATCCATGAAATTCTGAATCTCCGGAGGCTCTTCTAAACTCCTCTGGATGTTTTGTTTTTCAGAAACTCCTCCAGGTAGGCAACCAAGAGATACGTTACCACCCCAAATGTTGACATTCTTCTTGAAACAACAGGTTCATCACGAACACTTTGGGGAACTGCTTGAAGGATCATTGAAGAAACTCGGCGTTCAACACGTTGCCACTTTTCCATGGTGATCTCAGGCGGTGCTTGACAGGGGTGCTTGATTCTTTCCAAAGGGCTCAAACTCATGTGAAGCTTGTACCACTCCTCAGCTGATTTGACAGTGCTTCGCCACCATTCACCTGCAGTTAAGGACAAGTCGGCTATGATGGGCTCTGCCAGCAACAGCCAATCGCCAAGGATCAACGGTCCTTGTTGGGCTTCCCATGGTGCTAGAACAGGAAGATCAGGACTGCCAGTTCGGATGGTTTCGACACCCTTCACCAAGCCAGCCTCATCTTTGGAGTCGTTCATTCGCTTTTGCATCTCTTTCATAGATTCCATCATCAGGGCCAGAAACTCCAACGACTTTTCGGTGAACGCAGCTGATGAATCTCCAGCGACGCTTTCGCTTCTTTTGAATGGGGGTCTGCAGCCTCCTTTGATCTTTGAGAACCTGTGCCGCTTCCATCAGGGGGTCTATCAGCCTCCTTGGTGGTCTCGGCCTCCTTTGCACAGGGGGTCTACCAGCCTCCTTGGTGGTCTCGGCCTCCTTTGGGGTCTTTGGGGGTCTATCAGCCTCCTTTTTGGTGGGTCTTTCAAGCTGGCCATCAGAGCAATTTGGAGTCGCACACCGCTGGTCTTCATCCATCTTTTGAAACTCCAAAGCATCGACCCTTTCCCTCAGAAACTGATTTTCCCTCAATTTGTTTCCTATGTTTTTCCTCACCTCTTGATTTTCTCTATCTACATCTATACTTCTATCATGTCCATAATAACCACTGGACCCGATCCGGCCCTCCTCATGCATTCTCCGTTCATCTTGTTCAAGAAAGAGAGGTCGTTGGACCGGAGGCATCAATTGCCCAGGTGGCATCAGAGGCAAGGGGGCTTGAGGGACATGTTGTGGATATAGCCATGGTGCTTGTGCATACAGCTCTTGGAACCTTCTCAATTGGTTTTCATCAAACAAAGGAGTCATGGGCGTGGACATGTGCGGAGGTTCAGACATCTTCGGGTCTGAAACAGGAGCTACGCTTTTTTCCAAACTCCCAACCCCATGCTGTCCTGCTTCTTCACACCTTCTGCGGAAACTGCAACCTTAGTCTCCTTAGTGACTCCAGGTTCCTCAGTGGCATTCTCAAGAGGGCGGATCTCCTCTGCAGTTATTGAAAACTGGGGACAGTTAAAGCTTTTACCCTTTCCATTTTCTCCTCAAGCGGAAAACGGGACTGAGCCTCCTTAGAATCACCTTCAGCCTTCTTATCTTCTAGTGCTACTTCTTCTTTCACCTGTTGATCCAACCTTCTCTGAGCTGCTTCTATTTCCCTTTGGCCCTGTTCCAATTCCTTTTGGGTGGCCTTTCTTCTTTGCATCATTGGGTCCATCGCGGTGGTGGCAGGCTTTGGGCTCATAACCTGATGATGCCCTGCCAAACCACCAGACCCCGGCTACCAGCTTCCAAGCCTCCTTAGCCAAGAAGCTCCTTCACATTTTTCACCTCGCTTTTGGCCCACTTCGTTGGGCATCCGGCGGCCGTTTGGCCCTTGAAAGAAAACAGCTTCAGGTAACGGCTTATGAGACCGAACCTGACAGGTAAAGGATTTGAATGTGCAAGTGCAAAAAATGAGAGGCAATATCAGCAGACCCAGCCCACACATACGCCATTGATGGCATTGGCAAAAGGTTTCTTGCAAGCAGTTTGATTTTGTTGTGCCACTTCGGTTACTTTGGGTTTGGAAAGATTGAAATGAAGTTGAACAATGCCTATGCTCCCTTCATAGCATATTGCGAAGCCCGGGGAAAGCATACTACAATCCTTGAATTTTCCAGCAAGACCCTCAAACTTCCTCAAAACTCGCATCTTGGAATCATCTTAAGAAAGAAGTTTGTGAACACACCGCAAATCCCCATAGTCAGCTGAAACTAACTGTTGAGTTGCCCCTGCAATGTGCCCGAGGTACAACAACTACCCTGCAGGTTTGGGCAAGGGATTTGATTCTGGAGTGGTTGGCGCCTGGTTGGACGAAGAGCTTGCCCAGGTGTTGCCAGCCTCACTTGCCACTGGGTTGAAGGGGTTGGTGGACCAGCTGTTGTCTTTTGACATGGGTGTGTTTGCAAACCATACCAAAATAAGTGTTTATCATACTTGGTTTTACCATGTTGTACCAAAAAGAACAATGGCTGCTTTCGGGGTGGCCATGATGTGTGCCCAGGACCTTCGTTTCCAAGAAGTTGCAGAGGTCTTGATTTGGACATCTCATGCATGCAGCCGCTATTGGCGGACCATTTATGCATCTGGATTGTGGCTGAACCGCAACACTGCCCGACAAATAGTCTCTGACGGATGGGCTTTTACAGTTTCTTGCCCAAACAGAAAAATGGCTCTTTGTTTCTCTTCCAGCTTCTCCCTTTGTTAGAGAACCGTATCTAAGCTCAGGATGGGTACTCTACCCTAGCTTCGCTGACTGCAAAGATGGGCTACCGTTTGTACAAGATCCGTCCAAAGCTGCATATGATGTGTCACACTCAGTTGCTTGGTGAACATGCTACTTGAAAATAAAAGGACCGGATAACCCCACATGTCAAGCCTTTATGTATCTAAGGTTAATGTGAACTTCGGGGAGGTGTGAGAAGTGAGGTGTGAGAAGTGGACTTGTGATGTCAGGTGTGAGAGGTGGAGCTGTGATGAGTTCTGATGTGATAAGTGACGTGTGAGAAGTGGAACTGTGATGAGTTGGGATGTGACAAGTTGTGATGAGTTGTGATGAGTTGTGATGAGAAGTTGTGATGTGATAGGTGAGGTGTGAGAAGTGGAACCGTGATGAGTTGGGATGTGATAAGTTGTGATGAGTTGTGATGAGTTGTGATGAGAAGTTGCGATGTGATAAGTGGAGCTGTGATGAGTGGTGATGATAAGTCTACGACGGCGGAGGCGGGAACAGGAACGGCGGGATCCAAGTGAAAAACAAGAGCCCGACGCATGATACATGCAGCACACGAGCTCTTTTTCAAGAGAGGCCGCGCAAGTTCAAGCGTCATAATTTTGTGCAGTGTAGAGCACCTGGCACAGGTGATGAGGTAAAAGAAATATGAAATGAACTGTGACCGAAAGTAGCGGAGTGATACACTGTCGTCTGTATGTTCCCTGTTAAACGTAAAGGTTGAACAAAAGTGTTTCCCAAATTGATTCACAGGTTGGCGGTTTGAACCGCTCTGAATAATATGATTCAGTTTGGGTTGCTATTCCCATGCCAATGTTCACATAACTGTTGAAGAAAGGAATGCTAGGTCAACAGAAAAACTCCTGCACACCAGATCTGAGCCATCAGCAGTGAGAAGCACGATGATGTCAACCAGCTGCGGACACGTAGAGTTAGCTATCACAAAGCAGCTTTGCAACCCATAACTGTCTCATGTGTGCAATACACAATGAAGAGGCACCGACACGACGGCATCTGACGGCATCTTTGCTGTATCAGCAGTACTCAGTTTCATCGTTTGCTGTGATCTACTTCTGTACCTATGTTCCGAGGTAGTAACAAGGCCCGCAGAGGTCCACATAAAAGCTCCTGCATGCCAGATCTGATCCATCAGAAAGGATAAGAACGAAATGACTGCTTGTGTTTCTACCAATAACAACGCCTGCATGGGTCAACCAAAAAAACCATGCATGCCAGAGCTGATCCATCAGCACGGTGAAGCACGAAATGACTGCTTGTGTGTCACAAGAAATTCTTGCAGTAGTCACCGCGTGCAAAGAACTCTCCGATCCTTTTTTAGCACAACTGCATCGGACGACGTGCGTCGCCCAAGTACACACAATGCAAAAGGCAAGAATGCCATAGCAATTCCACCAAAACATCCCCAAGCTAAGCCCGCTTGCTCCTTGCAATCAGAACGTCTGTGTTCAAATGCATGTACAGCATCAACATTGCCTGTCAGAAAGAGAATGGAAAACAAATACGCAATGACAACTTCGCGACACATTGACGCATCATCTGCTGGCCTGTGCCTGTCAAACATTGCTTGACCTGAAAGTTCAATGATAATAACATATCTGCTGGGAGCAATGTGCTATCTACACGACAGACTTCAAATGCAAAAGCAAAATGACAGAAAATCAATGCAATTTTTCTCCCATCTTCGGACTTCAAACTTATTGTACTGTACAACAACTTCTTCAGCTCGCACTAGACAAGAACGTTTTTTTTCCATGGACGATCAGGGCATGCTCTGAACAATTCGACAGGGCATGCTGTGAACAATTCGTGACACAGAGCCAGCACGTCCGAAGAGAGACGGCGCTTTCAATCCTTTCTGTTGACTCGCACCACAACACACTGACCCAAGAGTATTGCCAACAAGGACACAAGGACTGGATCCATCGTAAACACTCACGATGAACAGGTTTGTATATAAATAGTAAAGTCGACTGGTGCAAGACCTTGAAACAGTCACGCGTCATCATCAAAATTGCAGGCGATATTGTCACACCGACTCATCACCACGACTTGGGTGCTACATCCAAAAGAAGTCTACAAAGTCAAGAAGCCATGAACGCGTCGCCCTGCCAAGCGGCGCTGTCACGTTCCTCTTGCGGTAAGCCGTCTCGCATGCCACGAAGGCGCTTCAACGGAGTGATCCAATCCTTGTCAAACTTGAAACCTTCCTCCTGAGATTCAGTGATGCTGATGTGCTTCCAAAAGCTCGTCACAGCCGGCACCTGTTCCGCTGCGACCGGCACATGCCACAAGACCGAATATTCACCCAGAGTCTCCGTCTGACCAAGCACGACTTGAAAGACTTGACCAGGCTGGGCTCGGAGCATCCAGTTGACCGCCGAAGCAGGACCGGCACAGCGTAGCTTGACTCGATGCGGCACGGCCTCTGTCCCCTCCGCGGTCTCGGACAAGACACAATCCACCGATCGCTTGACACGGATGGCCGACGCCGTGTTGGGGTCTTGTTGCAAAGCCTCATCATCTGCGAGATTCACATCATTGAACGCCACCAAAGCACGTAGCGTGTTGGCATCGATGTGGCCAAAAGCAAACATCCCGAGATCCTTTTCCTCTGTCACACCACGAAGAGCCACCACGGGACATCCTGCGTGCAGATGGTGATGTGGAACCTTGCGTTGCAATTTTTCAGAACAGTCAGGAACAAAGGTGCCACCGGCCACCAAACAAGGCTCCATGTAGCGGAGATCAAGTTCCATCACCTCTTGGTATTCGTTGTCACGAAAGGTGAAGCGGCACAACCACTGCGCGCTCCGAAACATGTCACGAATGGTGATCCGGAACGCTGCCGTGTCCTGCAGAGGTTCACCCAAAGCCACGCTC